TGAACAAAGGCATCTAATTCAGCAGCAAGTGAAAATACATTTTGTAAGTGTCTAAACTATTTGCACATTGCGACTAATATTCATCTGCTGTTAGCACTTTGTTTGGACATTTTCAAGTTCTTCCTCTTCTTGTGGTCTCATGGTCATCTTTGGTGTGCCCTGGATTCCATTCTTGGTCCCCTGCTTTTTGTTACCCACACACTGCCACCGCAGTAACACCATTTACATGTGGTTGGCTTATACAGGAAGACTTCTCACATTCAATCCTACCTCTCTGCCACCTTACTAACTCCAGCAGCAATAAATTAAACAAAAACATACTATCCACGGTGGGACTCCAATTACTAATATCGGACTAATGAATGCTCATACTTACGAATGTCATCTCAAACAGGGGCGTAATTTTAAAGACTTGACATACAAACATTTTGTGTATTTATAAATGGCTCTTTTATATTGTCCTGCATTGTGTTCTGACTTGCGTTTGCACTCCAAAACAGAACCCATTTACAACCGAGGGACTGCCTGTATGTGTGATAATAAGTCCTGGATGAGTTATAAATTTATAAAGCTCAATGATGGCAAGGTTGAGATCATCCATGGTTAAGCTCTCCTGAGTATTTGTAGGCCTTCATCAATAATTCTAATGCTTGGATAGGTTTAATTCAATGGTTCTTACAGTGGATGTTCATTTCACCTTGACTGGAGTCTTCAAATGCTTGTCCACCTGCTGTTTAGCTCTTTGCCACCAGTGCTAAAGCCTACATTCATACCTTTACACTTCAAAATGCAGCTTCTGAAATGTTCTCCTTGTCAACTTTTAGCCTTTACAAACTTCAACTGATCCAAAATTTTGCAGTCAAGTCCCATTCTACATAAAGCTGTTTTCTTTACAATCCAACATGCACAGTGTCACCAGATTAACTTTCCTACCCTGCATCTTAATTTTGAAATATTTCCCCAGCCTCAATGAGTAATCTTTTCCAGCCAATCTTTCAGCTATTCTGCCGATGCTAGTTAGAACTCAGATCCAGAACCACTCCTCTGCCAGGCACCACAAACAAGGGGCAACAAGCAATATAGATGATTGTGAAGACATTTCGGTCACAAGAGGAAGGCTCTAGTCAAGTTACTGTAGGCCCACTTAAATAGCTGTCCACTCCTATTAAAAATTTACGCAATTGAGAGAATCTTGGAACCACATCCAGGGAAAGATGTTGCCTTTGGTTTAACCAGCTGATTTGGAAAAAAGATATACATTTACCAAAATTTTAACACCATTTTAATAAAATCTGACATTTTAACAAATGTTTAAAAATTGAGAACATAGAACATTGGAAATGGGAGTAAGAAAAGGCCATTCAGCCCCTCACTGCCATTCTACTATATCACAGACTATCTCCTAACTCAGTTATGTTCACACACCATTCCCAAAATGTGTATGATCTACACTCTTAAGCTTTTACCTCAAAGAACCAGAACAAAAAAACAGTTCATCAGTCTACCAGAGTAAATGAAAACCACTTCACTTCTATTTATGTGTCTGTGGCACAATGCAACGCATTTTTAAGTGTCATGGGTTAGATCGGTCAAGTCCCTTTTTTAACCAAAGCTAACCTTGTCTCTGAGCTCAGCCAAAATGATCCACTGCCACATGCAAAAGTGTGAGCTCATTCTAGTGTTTAAAATGTTTTCTTTTGCCTCCTAGGTGGCTTCCCAGGCAAAACTGCTTGACATGGCATTGATATTCCACTGCTTTCATGTGACAGCATACATGCATCACGGTTGTATTGTTTTGAAAGTTCTTTAGGGATTCGGTGGCAGTCAGAATGTTTCCAAAACGTCTTACTGGCTCAATGAAGGAAATTTTGAAGGTTGTTGAGGCTAGTATAGTAGCGGAAAACTCTATCAGGAGTGACACTGGACATGGTCCCACCTCTCAGCATGATTCCTGGTGAGGGATGCCTCGAGAATAAGGAACTGACTTTTCTGAGAGGAACAGGGAACTTATGTAATTAAGATCTCAGTCAAAGCTTTTCCAACATTAACAGGAATTTCTTGGCACCAGATGAGCTTCCCTATTGTGTCAGGGGCCTAGAAGCAGAATTTCAGCATCAGCTTCTCGATGGGAAGTCAGATGGCCTCCAAGGATTTTTGATGGCAGCAAACTGTAATACCTAAAGAACAGTCAGAGGAATTCTTGGGCAGGTGCACCCCATCCACGTTGAGGGGGCTCACAGTTCTGACCCCTGTTATTTATAGAACTGTCTTTGGTACTTTTTGTGTGTCGCTGTTTTGAAATGGCCCCTCCCATTCAGCAGCGCTCACCTCTCCCAGTGGATCTGCTGGCTGGACTTTCCTGTGGGATCTCCCATTAGTCTTCCCATGTCCCTGTTACGCCTGAGGCCCTCAAATAGATGGCAACCATAGAGGCAGCCTGTTAACTGACCACCTCCTACAAAGTCTCCCTGACCCAAGTAGGGCAGGAACCCGTTTTTGCCTTTTGCCAGAAAATGTTTTAAGTGCCAAAGACTCTGATCTGGTCAGACTGCATTTGGAATATTGCGAGCAGTATTGCAAGCAGTTTTGGGCATCACATCTATGAAAGGATGTGCTGGCATTGGAGGGGGTCCAGAGGAGGTTCACAAGAATGATCCAGAGGATGAAGGGATTATTGTGAGGAATGGATGAGGGCTCGGAGTCTAAACGTGACAGAGTTTAGAAGGATAACGCAGAATCTAATTGAAACGTACAGAATACTGAGAGGCCTGGGTAGAGTGGACGTGAAGAAAACGTTTCCACTAATAGAAGAGACTAGGATGCGACTAGAATGAAGGGGTGACTCTTTAGAACTGAGATGGGAAGGAATTTCTGCAGCCAGAGACTGGTGAATCTGTAGAGCTCATTGTTGTAGAAGGCTGTGGAGGCCAGGTCATGGAGGACAGAGATAGATAGGTTCTTGACTGATAAGGGGATCAAGGGCTATGGGGACAAGGCAGAAGAGTTGGTTTTAGAACTATATTAGCCATGAATGGTGGAGCAGACTCAATGGGCCAAATGGCCCAATTCTGCTCCTATCCCTTATGGCATTATGATGTTATGATTCTGGCCACTGTCCTTTCTTCCCTGGAAGCAAGGTTAGAATACAAAAGGAAGAACACACGTTTCTATAGCATCTTTCTTGATGTTAGGAGGTGCCAAGTGCTTGACAGCCAATGACAAGTAAAGGTATTGTTGTAATAATGGGAAAGCTGAGAAGTGAAAGTCCTCTATTTTGTATAAGGGTGTAAGAGTCTGGAAGGGTTAATATTGAGGAGTGCCTTAAGCACTACCCACTATGAGGAGGTCATAAAGACTTGTCAGAGAACAGCTTAGGAATTCAAACGAGGACAACCTACCATCCAGGTCTTTCCCACAGTCATTGTAACAATGTCTATCAGTGTAACTGGTATATAGTTACTGACGTACAATAAACTGCATTGTGTATAAGAAAAGAAACTCTCCCCTTTAGATTAGCAAGTGGTTTTCTTCTACCAGATCACATCAAGTAGGTGCTGTAGAAGAGGATAGTGGCAGTGAAACAATCCCATGGCGATTAACAGTGTGACAGCTTCATACAGTACCGCGGTGTGGAATGAAGATTGCTCATACTACTCTCTGTCTGCTGGACCTCTGTTTTTATTTTATTTGTTTGACGTGCAATCAAGGAGTGCCATTGGCAAGACTAGAGTCCACCGCTCATTACCAATTGCCTTGAGGTGGCGATGGTGAGCTGCCCTCCTGATTTACTCCATTCCTGATTCATGTGGTAAAGGTACACCCATATCAGGAGGATGTGTGACTTGAAGGGGAACTTGGAGGTGGTGGTGTTCTATGTAAAATGTTCCTCACAGTCCCACTGAAATACTGAAATGTGATTCTGATTCTGAATTCACAGCGGCTGCAGATGATTTGATTTAATTTGGATGATGAAGGATGATGAAAGAATTTCTGTTTGAGCATCAGATTTCCAGCATCTGCAGTTCCTTGTTATATTAAAAATGACTAAAGATGAATTAAAGATGATCTGTTTCTGTGATGTTGACTGGGGGGGATAAATATTCTCCAGAATAACTCCCTTTTTTCTCTTTTAAAATGAAATTGAGGACTTTAAACCACAGTAAATGTTAAGTCACAGTGCTTGCACCAAGAAATAGTTTCCATAAGCTTGCTGGTCACTCTACCTATCCACGTCCACCAGTGCTGATGCTATTGGAGTCAGGTGGAGTATATTCAATTTACAATAGGCACTGTGCCATCCATGTCAATGCAGATACACTTTCTGCACCTACGTCCCCAATTAAACTGAAGGAAATCTAGTACCATGATTGGGAGATTGCTTAGATCTTATGTCCACTTCAACCAAAAGCCCTTTTGGCTCCTTTGCAGGAGTGTGATAAAAAAAGACTTTGAAGTCCAGACTGCTTCCAATGCCTGGATTGACCCTCACCCTCCATTGGAACCCATATTGCTAGCTGAAAGCCATTCTTCTCATCTCACCTGGCATACAGGTCTCCAGTGCTATGCTGGAATCTGAATGAGTTGGGGGCATGGGACAGTGTACTCCAGTAAGCCTCTTCCTCCTACCTACCCGCAGTTGGCTTGCAAGGTGAGGTCAGAATTTTGGTTCCCTGCATGCAAGACAAACTCTGCATCTTAATCCACGTCTTTGGTACGATGGCCTCTGCCTGTCTCTCACAGGGGGAGTGTGGTAGAGCAGCTAAGGAAATTTGCGGCCCATTACTCCGCATTAAATCTACGCTAAATCTGAACTAGAAGTGCCTAATATTTAAGCCATATGAAGCAATGTTCCATTTCTAAGACTGATGTCTTTCATCTTGAAAGGAAATTTACCATTTTTGCACGGGGTGTTTGCATGTACAGTATAGATTTTCGAATCAATAACTGAAAAAGAAGTGTTTGTAGTTATCACCTTCTGGTGGACAATGAAGAATTATTACCTGGAAATCATCATCAAACCTTCTTGCTTGAGAACCAAACCCCTTCCTCTCAGGAATTTCATACCTCACAGTTTGATACTTGCTTGGTATTGTGGCAGGGGTAATTGACGTGCTCCATCCTATAGTGCAACAGCAACAGAAGAGCAACAGAATTAGACACAGAGATTAGAAAAGCTATCCCATTCACCAGCTTGTACAATAAAATAAGAAATAAAGATTTCCTATCACCATCATGGGTGTTCCTGGAACTAGCATCTCACTTCTGCATTATTTGTTGATTGATGGAGATGTAGAATGATTCTAGCAAGAGCTCTGTGCTACTTTCACTATTATCCTGGTCTAACTACATATCATCAACTATAAATTGCAAGCCGAATGATGACTATAACAGAAGTATTTGCTGCCACTTTTGAAGCACTAATGCAATCTTCATCGAAACAATTCAAACAATTTGAATCCAATGCTATCATATTTATTCACATTTTCATGTCAAATTGATCTTAAAATGTAAAAACAAGTCTTAATTTAAAGCTGGGGTGATTGGTTTCCTCAGACTGGTTGAATGACTAATGTGTCTAAACAAGTGATTTACAATTTTATTTTGTTACTGTCTGATCATTCAATAACATTATGTAATTAGAACTTAGATTTTCCTGCCTAATCCCATAGGGTTTCTGTAAAAACTGTAAGAGAATGGAACAGTGTTACTCAATAATCATCCCAATATTGATTTGTCTCCTTCTTTGTGCCCTTGGACTGCCTCTGGTTACCTGTCCTGTCTGTGGGATGTAATGGTGAGAGCAGAGGTCATCCACCCAATCAATGGCCATTCTAACGCACCAGTTATTGCTGCTTGCCTGTACTCCCTAGTGGGCCTGGGGAACCTAAAGTTATTTAAATGGATGGAGAAAGCTTGTAGAGACATCCTCTCACTCAATTTCTGCTCCAAAAGCTTCACTTGTTTAAAGTTGGACCTGTTCTCCATTAAGGCCTTACGTCCTGTCTCTGATAACAATGGTGGCATCCTTGCTGCATTTCCTCTCAGATTTTCCTTGTCGCATTCACTGGCTTTCTCTCAGTGACAGCTTTCCAAGTGAAATAATCTCCATCCCAAAAATCTGAGGTGGGCAAAACCCCTGTCCTACCAGAACGCGGAAAGGGAAATCTAGTTTTGATCTGAAAATAGAGATAGTAGGAACTGCAGATGCTGGAGAATCTGAGATAACAAGGTGTGGAGCTGGATGAACACAGCAGGCCAAGCAGGATCAGAGGAGCAGGAA